ACAACTTTCTCAAATAACTTGAACCTAAAGTGTAATAGCTCAGCCCAACCTGTTGTATATTGTTCATTTTAGGCGTTACCGCTTTCATGATTTTGTTCCTAGTAATGCGAGTCTACTTCTGAGACTGACGCTCCAAAATATGTACAACAATTAGCGACCAACACTACTTATAAAGCCCTTACTCTGAACACTCGTTTCTGATGTGGGATATCATAATCCTCCCATATTAAGACAAGCCATCCTTGGCTTTGATACCAAATATAATAGCTCGGCCCAACCTGTCATATATTATCTGCTTCAGGCCTTACCATTCTCACAGTTTTGTTCCTGGTGAAACGAGCCCACTTCTGCGCCTAATGCCCCAAAACAAGTACAACAGTTCAGCAACTAGCACTACTTATAAAGTCTTGGCTCTAGATGCTCCTTTCCGATTTGGAATATACTCAAATAACCTGAAATCAATACCAAACTAACAATAACCATGATTTGATATGAATTGAAGTGTTTTTTATAAGTCTTAATTTTTTTTTAATAAACCCAATTAGCGTCAAAATAGACAACTTATGATTTCGACCTCTTTTTTTTATTATTATTATATAGATTTGAAGGTGGGTTTTTTGAACAAAAACCTTTTTTTTTTGTTTTTTACTATTGCTATAAAAATCAAGATTGAAAAACAACGAACAAATAACACATAAAGTTTAAAGATAAATAGATAGATAAAACCTAATTTTAGAGCCTTACTCTGACACCGACTAATATAAATCTAAAGGATAATAACCTTTGAACCTATATGTAAGAAAGCAAAAACAATCCAAGAAAGATAAAATCAAATTATGATATAAAAAACCCGACATGATGATTATGTGAACTAAGGCACCAAAGTTATTAAATGAAAAAGACCTCATCCCTATGATTATAATGAATCATGAATTGGAAGTATGAATTGGAAGTATAAGAAGAACGCTATAAAGATAATTGATCTTTGATAAGTTTAAGAAAATTTCAATGAAGAATATAAAGTATGAACAAACTCTCACTCACAAAATATTATTCTAATATCAAAGTCTATAAAAAAAAACATAACTAAAAGCTAAAAAAACCATATTTATACTAAGTAAAAAATCATAAACAAGACTAGAAAAATAATTAAAAAGTACTAATTCAAATAGAAAAAAAATGATAAACTAACTATGAAAGTAATACAATTATTATACAATAGCTTTTGAACCTTATTACAAATCTTTTTGGACATATAATTGCTATAAAATTTTAATTCTATATAAAAAAATATCTTAGAAAGCATTTGAAAAAAATTCAACTCAATTTAACAGTCAGATAAACAGTTATGTTTGTTTAATATACATCTCTGCAATAAGAAAATTAAAGCTTAAAATGAACTAAAACTTGTCAAACCTTTATATGGATCACATCAATTAAAGTCGGTCATTTCTTGTTGAAGTCAAAAGGCTTGACTTGACTTAAATATCCTTGAATGTCTTTTTAAGTTTCTTGATCATTCATCTTGTAACTGGTTTAATTGGCACCTATAATAAATTTTTTTGTATAGTTAATTGATTCTTAACAATGCAATGTATTTTTGTTTAAATTTTTTATTTGATCCTAAAGTTTTAATTATTTTTAAGTATTTATATGAAATTGAGCATCAACTTAACATTATAAATTTTTTTTGAGACTCCAAGAAACACATAACAAGTTAATTGAAGCAAACTATCATAAAATTATCCAAAGTAAACATAATATTTAAAGATAAAATTAAAAAAAAATCATCATGGATCAAAACCAAAAATAGAAAAGGGAAAAATAATAATAAAAGATATTGATCCTAAAAATCATATATTAAATATTTAAGATTTATATGAAGCACACTGTTTTGTGCTTTAGGCTTCGGGATCCTCCTATCCATACATGCAAAGAACAGAACTTGTGAGGAGAAGCTTGTATTCCACCCCGGAAATCAAAATTTTCTGAATTAGTGCTTTCAAAACAACCAACCGGGATTGAATTGGCTTTAATGCCCTAAAATAACCATGAACACATCTACATCACATGCAAGGACACAAGTGTTTTTGTCAACAACAGAAGATACAAAAAACCCTCTAAACTATATAAGAACGGCTTATTTCCTCTTCCCTTCCCCTGTCTAATCTTTCCCCTGACCGACACATCAAATTGTCCATGGAAAATCTTCCATCCTTCAACATCATCATCATCCTTCTCTTCTGTTATGTCACCCAATTCATACTATGGCAAACATCAGCCCAGGACCTACCATGCCGCACCACATGTGGCTCCATACAGGTCAAGTACCCCTTTGGCAGTGGCCACGGTTGCGGCTCCCCCGGGTTCCATCCTTACATAGCATGTTCACCTGAGGGAGACCAGCTCCTCCTCACAACTCACACAGGTTCTTATCCTATCACTTCCATATCCTACACCACCTCCACCTTTATCATCACCCCACCACACATGTCCACATGCACCTCCATGCAACAATCCCCCAACTTAGGCCTAGATTGGGCAAGTCCATTCCAGCTTGGCTCATCAACTTTCCTTCTCCTCTTATGCACACCCCCAACTTCATCTCTTAACATCAAGGGCTCACCTGTTTGTGACACCTCCTCTTATCTCTGTGCGTCGATTTACACTTGTCCATCTGTGATTGGCCTCGGCTTGCCTCTTTTTCCACCTACAAACACGTGTTGTGTGTATTCTCCTGCTAATTTTAATAGCAAAGGTGAGCTTGATCTCCAAAAGTTGAATTGCATGGGGTATGCTTCAGTAGTGTCCCTTCAGGAACACCCTACCGACCCTTCCCAGTGGCAATATGGGGTGGAATTGAAGAGCAGAGGTGGAGCTTTGGATGATTATTACGTAGATAATAAGTGCAACACTTGTGAGATCAGTGGTGGTGTATGTGGTTATGCTCCTCCTGTCAATTCCTTTGTGTGTGTGTGCAGTGATACAATCAATACCACTATGGATTGCAATACCCGCAGTCTGCAGAATCAACCTGAACTGGCTTGGAACTCAGTTTCTTTACCCTCCAGTAAGTCTTAATTTCTTTTATTTTTAATCCTTATGTTTCTCCTTTCAAGATTTGAGATATTATCAACCTTAATTAGTCGTTAAGTTTTGATCTTTTCCTTTTTTACTTTTGCTGAATTATCATGAGTCTATGATCTGCTAAAGTGCTAATGATGGATAGATAAGAATCAGATACCTTTACATGCATGAAATTGGTAGACAATGGTTTTGCAAACCTACTTTCTTCTTTTTTTTACTTAATGGAGAGGAATATGCCAAATGTTATTTGTCATGGAGTATAAAGGGGCATCCTTTCTCGTAGGAAAAAAGGACAAATTTGCAAAAGTGAAAAGTTCGAAGACATTTTTATTGTAAACCATAAAAAGAAAATGCAAAGCTGAAGCCTTGAGCACTGATTGTGTACGAAGGTGTAATCCAGTGCAATCCTGCAACGCAGGGTCAAGGACTCGATATGTTTTACTTTTTCTATCCCAGGTTAAGGAATCAGATTCAAGCCCTTGTCTGTGAAAGTGGGGAATAGCCAAAGTGCTAATTATAAATGCATCTTTTGCCTGTATATAGATTCTTAGTGTGAATCTCAATTTATTGCTCACTGATTTTACAGGGAAGCTGTGGATGGGGTTTCTGGGTGGTCTAGTTTTCGTTGGAGCAGCTTGAGAAAGAGAACAGCTCGCAGTTAAGTGAGACTGTTCTTTGTGCAGTGATCTGAGGTCTCATTCTAATTAACAAAGACCTTTGTTTTGGCAATGGAAAGTTGAAAAGTGGTCAAAAGTAGGTCTTATTTGTCAAATTCGAGAGAAATAGTACAAGGAATAAAGATGGGAAGGCCTGGAATCTAAGTCATTTATGAATACTACACTTTCCATGTGCGTTAGCAAGACCTGTATGTTCGTAGCAATGGTTGTGGTTTCTAAATCCCTCTTGAAGTTGTTTTCATCTACCGTACTTTCTTTCTAATAAAATTTGCATTCACTCTTTTTCAACTTACTCAAATTGCAATTTTATACAATTTCCTCGTTATTTTTTTATGTGTAATCCCGTATTATATGATGGTGAGACTACTATTAATTATGCTCTCATTAATTCTAATAGATAGATGTTGTCTCTTGATAATACAATTTTATACAATTTTCTCTTACTCTCTTTTGTATAATAATGTTACTGCGTTAACATTATGTTTTTAATTCTAATAGATAGATGTTGTCTCTTGATAATTAATATAACGCAGTAGCATTATTATACAAAAGAGAGTAAGAGAAAAGGAAGAAAGAAAAGAAGAAAAGGTAGCAAAATAGTCTGTTTTCTTTTCTCGATTTCTAGCTCGTTCATCATTAAATCGAGTTGAGATTTTGATATAAGCTTTTAGACATGTTATTCTTTATTTTGAACGGATAAATTGAAGATTGGTGGTGTGAAAGTTAACTGTTTTGACAGAAAATGAAACTGTCAGTATTATGAGTTTTTCTCAAATACTATTTTTTTAATCTTGTTGTATTATAAGAATACATTGTTCTTAATAATATATATGTTGTAACCTTTAGTTGAATCTAAAAAAAAACGGTGTAAACCTATTATTTGTTGATAGTTAAAGTTTTTAGGTAGATTATAGTCTCGTGATTTTTCCTGCATCGGATTTTTCACATAAAAATCTTGATGTTGATTTGTGTAATTGTTATTTTTTATTTATTGATTGTTTGATTTTGATTTTAAATGTATAAAAAAAAACTTGTAAATTGATATCCAATTATTTGTTTCTAGTTTCTAGCACATTCAAACAACTTCCAAAAGGTTTTGATATGAAGCGAGCAAAGGACTGTGAGTTCAACATCCATACTTATGGTGGTACAGGAAAAGGGCACTTCAGCTTTCATCGGATGAACTTTAATTATATAATATTATATATTAATTGTACAAGAAGAAACAGAGATACAGAGGAGGTTCCAAAAGGCTGTCACCGAGAGGAAAGTATTGAGGAACCACCGAAAAATCTCTCCAGCTATTGCCATGCAAATTTTTTGTTGGGGTCACCTTACAAGGAAACAGATTTCCAGGGTAACCTAACCAATTTCCATGGAGATGAGGGGATCAGAGCTCGTATTTCTTGCGTTGATCTAACTTTCTCAACTCCCAATAATTAAATACGCACCTTTCTAAGCTTCGAAATGACTATAGCACACGCAAGTTGTAGTCTAAATGGAGAATCAGAAAGTCCTGAATTCTCCTCATCAGCAGATAAGCTGTTGGTATGGCTTGCGTGCTTTGATGAAGGAAGATTGTCAACGAAGAAGGACTTCAAGTGCCTGTAGAGCTCCTTGGGCCTCTCTGCATTAAGTGCATGACCCACATTCTTTATTATCACTAGTTCGGCATTATCACCGATATGCCTGCGCAGGTAAAAGAAGAAGAATCATTAACTTACTCTTGCATCAACTCACGCAATTACTAATTACCAAAATCCCAATTGGCTGCTGAAAAGATGAGCATATCAAGAAGGTTAGGAGGTACAGTAGGTTCCGAGCTTGTTTCAAAAGTAGATGCTTTGATGTTCTTTCCTATTAGATAGAAATCGAAGCTTGAAAAGGACACTGAGCAGAATATGTTCTTAAGAATTACCTTTCTAGTCTGTGTGCCAATTCCAGTGGGAAAACCTGGTCATGTTCTCCCCAGATTATGAGTGTAGGCTGCATAAAGGAGAAATACAGCGTTTAGAAGGTGCTCAAGGAGAAAGAAAAGCTAAATCTGACCGGAAAATATATACACAAAATATTGGAAACAGAAAGAAGTTTTGATTACAGTACCTGAGTTATCCTGGGAAGATCAGACATCTTTCTGTCCCTGTGTAATGCCTGGATTAGTTCTTTCTTCTCTTGACAGAATTTAGTACACATTACCTGTTCCCAAAGTGAAAATCAGATGATGGCTAAGACGAGGGGCAAGTGGAAGATAAAAAATATGTAGAAACCACTAGACAAGATGAATTACCATGTCAAAATTACTAAAACCTGCAATTCTTATCAACTTCTAAATCATAACTAGCTCAGGCCAATTACTATGATATCTCAAAGCCCTTGCTCTTACACCCTACTTGCAATTTGCTGATAGGAACGCCGTAGGACTACTCTTCCAGACCATCACCTCTGTACTTTTGGCTTCTCGGACATCATAATTACACACACACAAACACACACAGAGAGTTCGCAATCAGGCAGTCTGTTTATGTTGTAGCCATCTCAAAATACACTTTCATTTCACTTCTTTCCCGAAAATGATATAATATCTGCCTCCTTTTTCAAGTATTTGATCTAGCTGTTTCAGCTTTATGGACGTGCAATTAGTTAAAGAACATAACTGGTTGATCTTGCATTCAAAGTTGATCCTGAGCGGGATATTCAAATGGGCATATCATTTTTCAGATTGCCCTTGCCAAATACACTAGCTTTTTCCCCACTATTTTTCTTCCTCTTTTCATCTCCATTTTATTCCTGTTATGCAACCTCTTGCTGTCTAAAGTTCATAACATTCAAATCACCTTCTGCATGGGTCATTCAATTCTCAGAGACCGTCAAAAGGCAGAGCATACTAAAATGTGTACGGCAACAGAACTTGGGGGTAATTAAACAACTTGAATCAAGATCTAACAATCATGATCATTATTATTATTAACCGCACTAATTGAGGAGGGAAATTCACTATTCCCCTCACAAAAACACAAACAGTATTTGTTTTTTATTTTTCGGTTTTTTAAGATTTAAGTTTTTTTTTTATTTTATTCTTCAATAACTTTTTTATTATATTCTCATAATCTGAGTTGTGAATTTGACGGATTAACTTGGAGTTTTTTTTTTTTAGTTGAGTTTCCCTCCAATTTTATTTTTTAATTTTGTGTTTTTTATTTAATTTTTTTTTAATTTCATCCTTTCATATTGGGTTGATTGAGAATTGAGCTTAATAATTTGTTTTTATTTACTTTCTATAAAATCATCTTAGTTACATAAATTGGGTTACGAGTTTGGCAAGTTAACCTAGGTTGACTTGATTTATTTGTATTATGATCCTTTTTTTATTTATTTTTTAATTTCATCATTCGATATTAGATTGATTAAGAATTAGATTTTATAATTTATTGTGATTTGTTTTTGATAAGATTATCATGATTTTATAATTTGAATAATGAATTTAAAAATTATTTTTAGTCAAACTATATTTTTAACAATTGTTCAGGTTATTTTTGGACTTGTTAAATTGACTAGGTCATATTAGATCAATCCCAACATAGTTTAATTTTTTCCTACTAAAAAAGACATAAGTAGCATCTAAATATTTTTTTACTTTAAAAAAAAAATAATCTAACTTGTAGGATAGCATAAACAAGTAATCTAATTCCTTTCTAAATTACTAAAGAAATTAAAAATACATTTTTTTTTAATCTCAAAGTAAAAGCATAACACTTTGACATGCCATTATAAATAAATTAAGACTCGAAATAAAGGTGTTCAAAAAATCTAGCTCATTTATAATATTTATATTATTTGAATTGACTCAATTTATTAAAGTAAGATAATATAGATATTACAAATAATAGTGAGTCAAAAAATGTAAAAAATAAATGTCATAGGTCAAGATTTTTAAAACTCGGTCAGCTCGTCTATTATATACTTTTTTATCTTTATATTTGATAATTTATAAATTAAGTATTTATTTTTATTTTATTTTGAATTATTCGAACTCTAAAAATTTTTTTAGTGGAGTTTCTATTATATTTCTTTAACATAACTTAAAATGGTTCATCTCTTTGTTGGAAGGAGAAAATAACTAGAATTTAATAGCGATGCAAGATATAAAAATTGAGGTGTCATGGCACTAACTATTCATGTTATAGGTTTATTTTTAAATACAAATCCTAAAAATTAGTAACATAAACTTAACTCATGTATATTTATAATATATCAAAAAAAATTAGTTTAACTTGATAAATTCAACCAGTAAAATATTAAGAATATTAGATTGGACACAATTATAAAACCAAGTTCTACCCAGCTATATCCATTAACGTCTCCCCTATTCAAGCATCGACAATTATACAATACTGAAATGGTTCCTCTGCTCATATCCTATATTAATGATTTTTCTTTAAAAAAAAAAGAATTATGACTATTAACTATATGTGCACACTCAAAGAGAAAACAAAACAAATTGCTAACTATTGGCAATTCCTTTTTGTCACAAATTAAAGCGCCTTTTGGTCACCAAACGTGGGAACTTCATTTGTCACCGAATTGGATTGAGTGTCTTGCTAAATCAATGAACAATTAAGTCCAAATGAATTATAGTTCAAATGGTATGGTATCTTTTTGGAGTTTGATTTTCCTTATTTTGTAACAAAATAAAACATATTAAATTTCAGAAAAATGCATTGCAATGTCTGTCTTAAAGATTCTTCAAAGTCATCACAAAAAAAAAAAAAAACACT